AACACTTGTCTTTATTGATCTACTGGTCATACAGTGTGTATGTGTAAAACTGATATGGTTGGTAAAATCAAATACATAGCAAAAGAAAAATCTGATTGTAATTTCTAGTCATCGTTGATAGGCAAATTTTTATGATGTCAGCCATATTTGTTGCAGTATTTTTAGCTCACCTGAGCTGAAAGCTCAAGTGAGCTTTTCTGATCACCCGTTGTCCGTCGTCCGTCCGTCCGTCTGTCCGTCCGTCTGTAAACTTTTCACATTTTCGACTTCTTCTCAAGAACCACTGGGCCAATTTTAACCAAACTTGGTACAAAGCATCCTTGGGTAAAGGGGAGTTTAAATTGTTAAAATGAAGGGCCAAGTACCGTTCAAAGGGGAGATAATCAAGAAAATACAAAAATTGGGTGGGGTCATTAAAAAATCTTCTTCTCAAGAACCACTGGGCCAGAAAAGCTGAAACTTATGTGGAAGCATCGTGGGGTAGTGTAGATTCTAAATTGTTAAAATCATGACCCCCGGGGGTAGGGCGGGGCCACAATAGGGAATCCAAGTTTTACATAGAAATATGTAGTAAAAATCTTTAAAAATCTTCTTCTCAAGAATCACTGGGCCAGAGAAGCTGAAACTTATGTGGAAGCATCCTTGGGTAGTGTAGATTCTAAATTGTTCAAATCATGACCCCCGGGGGTAGGATGGGGCCACAATAAGGAATCCAAGTTTTACATAGAAATATGAAGTAAAAATCTTTAAAAATCTTCTTCTCAAGAATCACTGGGCCAGAGAAGCTGAAACTTATGTGGAAGCATCCTTGGGTAGTGTAGATTCTAAATTGTTCAAATCATGACCCCCGGGGGTAGGGTTGGGCCACAATAAGGAATCCAAGTTTTACATAGAAATATGAAGTAAAAATCTTTAAAAATCTTCTTCTCAAGAACCACTGGGCCAGAGAAGCTGAAACTTATGTGGAAGCATCCTGGGGTAGTGTAGATTCTAAATTGTTCAAATCATGACCCCTGGGTTAGGGCGGGGCCACAATAAGGAATCCAAGTTTTACATAGAAATATGTAGTAAAAATCTTTAAAAATCTTCTTCTCAAGAACCACTAGGCCAGAGAAGCTGAAACTTATGTGGAAGCATCCTTGGGTAGTGTAGATTGTAAATTGTTCAAATCATGACCCCCAGGGGTAGGGTTGGGCCACAATAAGGAATCCAAGTTTTACATTGAAATATATAGTAAAAATAATTAAAAGTCTTCTTCTCAAGAACCACTAGGCCAGAGAAGTTGAAACTTATGTGGAAGCATCCTTGGGTAGTGTAGATTCTAAATTGTTCAAATCATGACCCCCGGGGGTAGGGTGGGGCCACAATAGGGAATCCAAATTTTACATAGAAATATGTAGTAAAAATCTTCTTCTCAAGAACCACTGGGCCAGAAAGGCTGAAACTTATTTGGAAACATTCTTGGGTAGTGTAGATTCTAAATTGTTCAAATCATGACCCCTTGGGGTAGGGCGGGGCCACAATAAGGAATCCAAGTTTTACATTGAAATATATAGTAAAAATCTTTAAAAAACTTCTTCTCAAGAACCACTGGGCCAGAGAAGCTGAAACTTATGTGGAAGCATCCTTGGGTAGTGTAGATTCTAAATTGTTCAAATCATGATACCCGGGGGTAGGGTGGGGCCACAATAGGGAATCCAAGTTTTACATTGAAATATATAGTAAAAATCTTCTTCTCAAGAACCACTAGGCTAGAAAAACTGAAACTAATGTGGAAACATTCTTGAGTACTGTAGATTCTAAATTGTTCAAATCATGACCCTTGGGGGTAGGGGGGGGCCACAATAAGTACTATGGGGGGGGGGGGGAGAGAAATCAGGTGAAAAACAGCAAGGCCAAAGTTACTCAGGTGAGCGCTGTGGCCCATGGGCCTCTTGTTAGATGTTCACAGAGAAATTTTATGTAATATAACCACTTCTAAATTCTCATTGCTATAATAATGGAATGTTGCCGGGAATATTGGCTAATATTTTCTGAGTAAATAGGCATATAGTTAAAATTTGTTGTATGTTTCTATATTTTAATACGTTCTATTTCCACTATGGAAGAGTTATCCTTCTTAGTGCGCTCTTTTGTGAAAAAGTCGGAAAATGTACAAATCTCGCGGGATTTCAGGGACAAACGTAACGTAAACATGTAAACAATATGTTGAATGTCGATGAACAAATCCTAAGAAAATGCAAATGAAATATTTTATTGTTGTGGACTTTATATACATCAAGAGTAGGAATGACAACGATATCAATTTATATCTATTGTTGATCGTATGTATCTATTTATCGTATGGTACATCTAAATACAATATACAGATGCCTCGGAAATGTCGTATTTTTTATTAATGGATGATAAATTTAGGGTTCTCGCTCTCTTTCATATGTCTTTTAGTTCTTCTATTCTTTAACTGGAATGACAAATACATTTTACATTAAAAATTGGATTGAGATTGGCATGTTTTGTATTACCCGCAACGCCATGCTGTCCCTGTCAGACGACCAAACACGCCTCTAATTTTGAAGAGTTCACTAATGGAAATAAAACGTATTGATGACTATTGAACATGTAATACTTATGTTGGAAAATAAAATGTACACATTTATTTGTAGTTATATTAGAGAATTTTGAGAGAATGATTGCTTTTTTCAGGAATTTCAGAAAAGACACTCGGTGTGGATAAAAGGTGATTATTAAAGTAAAGTGGAGCCTCATTAATCTGGACACTAATAATCCAGATGCTTCACCTTCCAATGAAATTTCTGGGGAAAAATTTAATATATAATATATTGATAAAATAGTGATAATATATCAAGTATGTTTCAGTAGTTCGGATGCTTCATTAATCCAAGCAATTTGCTTGGAAACACAACTGTCCAGGTTAACAAGGCTCAGCTGTATAAAACTTTCACTTTGTATATCTTTCTTGTCCTGCTGTTTGCCCATTTCAAATTTTTTTTTATCCTTTCCAATCCTGAACAGGGAAGCTTTTTAGCTCACCTGAGCTGAAAGCTCAAGTGAGCTTTTCTGATCAACCGTTGTCCGTCCGTCTGTCCGTCCATCTGTAAACTTTTCACATTTTCAACTTCTTCTCAAGAACCACTGGGCCAATTTTAACCAAACTTGGTACAAAGTATCCTTGGGTGAAGAGGAGTGTAAATTATAAAAATAAAGGGCCAGGTCCCCTTACAAGGGGAGATAATCAAGAAAAGACAAAAATAGGGTGGGGTCAATAAAAAATCTTCTTCTCAAGAACCACTGGGCCAGAAAAGCTGAAACTTATGTGGAAGCATCCTGAGATAGTGTAGAATCTAAATTGTTAAAATCATGACCCCCGGGGGTAGGGCGGGGCCACAATAGGGAATCCAATTTTTACGTTAAAATACATAGGAAAAATCTTAAAAAATCTTCTTCTCAAGAACCACTGGGCCAGAGAAGCTGAAACTTATATGGAAGCATCCTTGGGTAGTGTAGATTATAAATTGTTCAAATCATGACCCCCAGGGGTAGGGCAGGACACAATAGGGAATCCAAGTTTTACATTGAAATATATAATAAAAATCTTTAAAAATCTTCTTTTCAAGAACCACTGGACCAATAAAGCTGAAACTTATGTGGAAGCATCTTGAGGTAGTGTAGATTGTAAATTGTTCAAATCATGACCCCCTGGGGTAGGGCGGGGCCACAATAGGTATATTAAAGGGGGGAAATCTGGTAAAGAACAGCATGGCCAAAGTTACTCAGGTGAGCGATGTGGCCCATGGGCCTCTTGTTTTTGAAAATGTTTTACATTTTCCATGCTGGTGACCTGGTTTTAAGATTTAAATTTTTCTCTGTTTGAAACAAATGCATGTATGTTCTATGCCATGAGTATTTTGATTGTTTTTAAAGAATAAAATGTGTACATCCATCCTCACAATGTCACGGTTTTGTGATTTCGGAACTCCACACAAACCCTTGACATAAGTCACTATTGAAAAGTTTGGCTTGTGGTTACACATGACGTACTGGTTAATTATAAACCAACTAATGAGAATATACTTTTCAAATCCGTCGTTTTCAAATGGCCCAACTCCAAAGTGTATCTTCTGTGATTGTTAGGAGTGCGATCCTCCAAAAAGTAATCCCCGATGTTTCGTTTAATGTAACTAGTCACAAATCCTACAATATTGACACTTTCCAATATAAAGACGAGTCATATTTGTTTACAAAACTTACCTACAATAAAAGCTGTTTTTGATTGGTTCCAGTCCTAGACCAAGAACAAATGAAATAGTAGCTTTCTAGCCCAACTTTTAAATAGCGACATATGTCAAGGGTTTGTGTGGAGTTCCGAAATCACAAAACCTTGACATTGTGAGGATGGTGTACATCATTAAGCCAAAAAACATAGAGATCTCTCGGCCCTGGGGGTGAGACAGCCTTAGCTCCCAGATGCTGTCTGTCTTAGCTCAGTATGCCTGTAAGAAGGCTGATACAGTACTATTTATAATATAAGGTTATAAAAACATTCTATAAAGGAAGATTAAATTTCAACTGTAAAACCAAACAATAAAATGCATAAATGAGATTAAAAAATATCTATTATGCCCTCTTCGAAGAAGGGAGGGCATATTGCTTTGCTGATGTCGGTGTGTCTGTCTGTCAGTCCCCCAACAGTTTCTGTTCATTTTCTTCGCAGAGGTTGCACAGTCATACTGATATGAAATTTGGTATACAGATATATCATATGAATATCTAGGTCAAGTTCTGTTTTGGGTACGTTTGAGCAATTTTTGACAGAGTTATGCCCCTTGGGCTTAGAAACATTCCAATTTGGGGGGAGGGGCATATGTGTTTCACAAACATCTCTTGTTATATTATAAAGACAAATATAAATTTTTAAACTTGGATTTCAAATTAAAAAAAGAAATAGATATGTTGTTAGAACAGAATTTTTTCCTTCATTTTCATACCTACTTAGTATTTTAATTAACATTACTGTAGTATTTTCTGTTTCTGTTGATTATGAAGAATGCACACATGTTTAATTAAACATCCCCATCATATAATGCATTCAGAGACGTATCTTCTGCTACCCAAATAATATTTCAAGGGAGCTTTTCTGATCACTTTTTGTCCATCTGTCCGTCCATCTGTAAACTCATCACATTTTTGACTCCTTCTCAAGAACCACAGGGCCAATTTCAACCAAACCTGCCACAAAGCATCCTTTGGTAAAGGGAATTCAAATATTTTCAAATTAAGTGCTACCTCTTCTTCCAATGAGAGATAATTAAGAATTAAAGAAAAATTAATGACATCTTTTAAAAATCTTCCTCTCAAGAACCATTGGGCCAGGAAAGATGAAATTTATGTGAAAACATTCTTAGGTAGTATAGATTCAAGTTTGTTCAAATCATGACCCCCAATCTTCTTCTCAAAAACAGCAAAGCAATGATTGGACATATTTATATGGAACATCCTCATGTTGTGTAAATTCAAAGGACAAGATAGGCTAAGACCCCTTTTTGGCCCCTGGTTTGGGATTTCTTTTAGATTGATGCAATAGTTTATCAATTAAAAACCTCTTGTCACCCCTGCCACAAAATGAGTATTGGATCTAAGTTATGGGATACACCGAGGTCACAGGAAGGTCAGAAAATATGTCAATTTCTGAATTTTCTCATTTTTATGCAAATTTTCATCGATTTTACAGCACATTTTGGTTCAAACGCTTGCCTACATGTATCTACCAAATTTATATATTTTTAACGCTAGTATCAGATGCATCTAATGTATACAATTCAGATAGGCAAGCTTGTGCTCTATGTTTCTGGAAGTGAAAAGTGTCTCAGATTTGATGAAATTTGACCAAATTTGAGGAAATTTGGGAAAATGTCCTACTTCTGCACCCTCTTGTGGCCTCTGTGTAAGCTTTGAATAAAAATTAGTGCTTGTTTTAAAACAAGCATCATTTTAAGTTCTTAACTACAAACTATCACAATTTTTACTGTGTTCTGATTTTTAAATCAATTAAGGGGCCAGATTTGGCCATTACCATACCTTGTCCTTTGTTCAAATAATGACCCCCAGGATTAGAGTGGGGCCACAATGGGCGATCAAAGTTATACATAGAAATATATTGGAAAAAATCTTTTCAAAAACAGGAAAGCCATGATTGATCATATTTGTATTGAAAGCATCCTCAGGTAGTGTAGATTCATTTTTGTTCAAATCATGTACAAAACGATCAAACATGACCTGACAAACATGACATGAACATGACTATCAAAGTTCTACTTGAGAATATATAGGAAAAATCTTTAAAAATCTTCTTAAGAACAGCAAAGCCATGAGAAGTCTATGAGAAGTCATGAGATATTCTATACAGAAGCATTCTTAGGTAGTGTAGATATAGTTTAACAAAATCATGGCCCCTGGGGTTAGGGAGGGGCCACAATAGAAAATCAAACTTATATATGAAAAAAATCTTCCAAAGCCATGATAAAACAAAGAAATGTGGAAGCATTCTCAGTTAGTGTAGATTCATGTTTTTAAATCATTAGTAGGTTGGGACCACATTTATATTTAAACTTTTCAATACTGAACTGATTTCTGCTTTTCCAAGCCAAAATGCTCGGTGATTGATGTGTCCCATGGGCTTCTTGTTTATTTTAACACAAGGTGTTGCCATGGTTACTTAAATTAGATATTTTAGTGATTTTTTTTTTCAAAACTCTACTCTTCCTACAGTTTTTTTTCCAACTTCATTATGGCTTGGTACTGTAAATTACTTTTTTATTTGCAAGAACCTTTTTTTTGACATAAATGCACAAGACAATTTCATTCTTGCATATGTTTTTATAAGTACAGACTAAATACATCAAATACCGGAAATCTCAGAAATTTTGTCTAGCTTATAAGAAACAAATTCTTATCTCGCAAAAATAAGGAGTTAACAGAATTTTATAATCTACAGTATATATTGAGTAGACTTAATTAAAATACATGATTTTTAGCTCACTTGATCTGAAGATTGAAGTGAGCTTTTCTGATCAAAGTAATACATAGGAACGTACACAATGTAGGAAATATCTTTAAAAAACTTCTCAACAAAAACAGCAAAGTCATGATTAATAATACATGTATTAATACAGAAACATCCTCAGATAGTGTTCAAATAATGACTCCTGGGGTTACTGTTGAGTTTTATATGGGAATGTATAATTCAAAATCTTTAGAAAACTTCCTAAGAACAGCAAAGCCACGATTATTAGTCATATTAATATGGAAGCAAGTTTGTTCAAATCATCAATTATGTAGGGTTAGGATGGGTCCACTTAATATATATACTAACTTTTAAGTACTGAACTGATTATATTGCTTATCTTAATCAAAAGTGCTCAGGTGAACAATGTGGCCCATGGACCTCTTGTTTTTTTTTTGTTTTTGTTTTTCTCTCCACATATGGTGTTGTCATCGTTGCTGATTCTTTACGCAGCTAAGACGTGTTGATTTAATGCAGGTAAGTTAAGGCTTCCCATAGAATACCACAGTGCACTCTGTGCCGTCACTTCTCTGAACTACCAATATATGACATCATAATGGAAAATGACTCATCACTGCAAACTTGAGCTGTTATGTTGGGGGAAGTGTTCATAAGCTTTACGCCTTACTTCAAATTACATGTAAAATGGCAGAATGCTATTGCAAAATTGAAGTGTCTAAATTGTATTTTTAAATTTTATTTGTCAAAATATTTTTAAATACTTTGCTTAATTACCCTTGATTGAAATTCAGCATGTTTAAAATGCTTACAAAAAATATACTTTTGAAATGCACACTGTTTAGAGATATCTATACTACTATATTAAAATAATAGACTCGAATTTTTGGCCTTTAATACCGATAAATTGGAAGAGTACTGTCGTTTGTTTTATATATTTTAAACATCATTGGTACTTGAAGATTACCAATTTGTTTTTATTTTTTCTCAATTAAGCTTCGCTAATTAATAATCAACGAAAATTCCTCAAAAAATTCCGGAAATCATCTGGATTGTTTGGATTTTACAATCTTGCGCGTGCGTATTACATTCACGCTAAATCACAGTGTTCAAATCAGAGAAGACAAAAGTAATTTGAACTAGGTAGATATATATTTGTTATTTTATAATTTTCTCTAATAAGAAATCATAAATATATATGAACAAAATATATAGCAAATTTCCAATGAAAATTTACACGTATTTATATTAATGTTTCTGAGTTTATCCATGCAAATGTGATATTGTGGCCACTTGGGTAATCATTCGCCATTTCGGAGACGCATTTGTATAAGTTATTTACGTCTCTGGTCATCTCAACGGAGGCAAAAAGCTCATGATCGTAGGAGTAATATTAATGTAACCATGCACCCGATTTTATTTTATCCTTCCTTTCTTTTATGCTTTTTTGAGGGGAAAGGGGGGTGTTACAACTCCAGCTAGAATCACATCTTAATGAAGTATGCATTCTTTTTCCGCCAGAAATTACAATAACATTATTTTCATTTCTTAACTTTGAAATAAATCGAAATAATTAAATAACGTCAATATAACCGATATTTTCAATTTGAAATGTGTCTAAATGATTGCAACTTGAATTTGTTCGCCATGTTTACTATTACCTTCACTGCTGAGATTTATAACTTCACCTCCAAAAATTTCTTTAACTTTGAAAAAAAAGTGGGTGAAATATGTATATGGAAGGGACAGCCTGTTTTTCTAAATATGTAAAGGTTGTCGTGGTAACTACGCTTGATAGGTAGTCTGAAGTCAGCCCTTGCGGCCCGTACAGTTCATTCTATCAATGCTGCTAAAAGATCGATTGTTTGTAAAATTTAATCCATGCATAGTAATTCTCAAAACTATGAGGTGGGACAAAATTAAGATCGTAAAAATATTTATTCAATGATGAAATGAATTATATTTAATCGTAGCAAACAAACTTATGTTTTATTAAATCGCCACAAGAAAAAATACACCTGATATTATTAATTTTTATTATGATCTCTTGAACAACCAGTATGTTTTTTTTTTTTGGGGGGGGGGGGGGTATTTGCAAGATAATCTGTTCTGCTTCACATCTGCTAAATTGTGTAGAAATACCAGTATAGCACATTTGTCCATTTTCATTTCTGCTTTTACAGATTATATACATGTCTATTACCTGTGTATATATAAAGTATATGTATTAGCAGTGCTTAATAACTCTTTTATTGTTGAGGTCATATTTTGAACAAGTTGAGACCTGCAGTGTTAAAATTGTTTCAAAATTTTTTACACCTTTAGTTTAATAACTAATTGTGTAAAAGTACCAGCTAAACACATTTCTTCATTTTCATTACTTTGCTTGATATGTATCAGCAGTGCTCAACTCTTTGTTGTTGTCATATTTTCAATAAATATCCGTAATTTCTTTTATTAAATCTGTTTGGAAAGGTGAAATTTATGTAAGCTCCGGAGTGATTCGAACTCATGACTTGATTTATAGCTAAATGGGGGTCAAACCCATTCTGTGCTACGCCGTTACGCAACAATTTTGCAAAAAAAAAAAAAAAAAACAACAACAACAAAACAAAAACAAAAACAGAATTATATTCACATTCATTGTTTATTTCAAAAGTACCTTACAATATATGAATGTGTCGAATTCCGATATATGCACATGGATGCATTGATAACAATGTCAACCCGTGCACGCACGGGTCAAAGTCTAGTTATCTATTATGTGTGTATAAAAGAGTCTGGCAGAGGCAAATAATGATAGTGATGGGAATTGGTAAGAATTTTTTAATGGGCAGATGACTACTTTCTGTGGTGGTCCAGCTGGTCCTTTGTTCATTTTGTAGAACCACAAGTATGTTCATACCTGAGAACGTGCTTTGTTACCCGGGTATGGATACAATATTGTCTGTTCGTCTGCGCCATTATGATACACAAATAAGTTGATAGATAAGTTGTGGCTGGAATATTAGAGTCAAAAACTAGTATGCTTGTAAAATAAAGAAGTAAATTGATTAGTCAGAATAAAAATTTTGTTATCAAGTGCTTGGATCATGCCAGCAATCAACTGATTTTTTTTATTATAATCGATGATTGGAACACTGAGGATTAAATTGAGATCTTTTGTGTAAATCTGTATGAAGAGTTTGTTTTCTTAACTGCATCTTGCTTGGGAAAAAATGTGTGATGGTTTTGTTTTAATACAGATTAGATATTGAGTGGAAAACACCCTCAAATGTGTTGGTAATTTGAACTTCTCATGAAATATTTTGTATCCAAGTAATACTTTGACTTTTCCCAAGCACATTTCAGGTACCACTCACTGAGTATGATGAGTTTATTATATCCCTGCTCCGAAGAAGAGGGGGGTATATTGCTTTACCCTTGTGTGTCTATGTGTGTGTGTGTGTGTGTGTGTCTGTCTGTCTGTCTGTCCATAACAAACTTTTCGTCACTATTTTCTCAGCAACTACTCATCGCAGATGCTTGAAATTTTAGCACACAATTTGTTAAGGCATGCCATATGACGGAATTCATTTTTGTATGAATCCGTGGTCAACTTCCTGATTATCCGTGCGTCTGTCCTTACCATACATAACAAATTTTCGTCACTGTTTTCTCAGCAACTTCTCATCGCAAATGCTTGAAATTTTAGCATACTGTTTGTTTAGGCATGCCATATGGTGCAATCCATTTTTGTATGAATTCATGGTCAACTTCCTGTTTATCCATGTGTCTGTCCGTACCGTACATAACATATTTTCGTCACAGTTTTCTCAGCAACTACTTATCACAGATGCTTGAAATTTTAGCACTCTCTTTGTTTAGGGATGTCATATGGTGGGATTCATTTTTGTACGAATCCAATGTCAACTTCTGTTTATCCGCGCGTCTGTCCATACCATACATAACAAATTTTGGTCGCAGTTTTCTCAGCAATTACTCATCGCAGATGCTTGAAATTTTAGCACACTCTTTGTTTAGGCATGCCATATAGTGGGATTCATTTTTGTACAAATCCGATGTCAACTTCCTGTTTATCTGTGCGTCTGTCTGTACCATACATAACAAATTTTGGTCGCAGTTTTCTCAGCAACTACTCATTGCAGATGCTTGAAATTTTAGCACACTCTTTGTTTAGGCATGCCATATAGTGGGATTCATTTTTGTACAAATCCAATGTCAACTTTCTGTTTATCTGTGCGTCTGTCTGTACCATACATAACAAATTTTGGTCGCAGTTTTCTCAGCAACTACTCATCACAGATGCTTGAAATTTTAGCACACTCTTTGTTTAAGCATTTCATGTGTTGGGATTCATTTTTGTAAAGATCCAATGTCCACTTCCTGATTATCACTGTGTCTGTCCATAACTGAACTTGTATATTCACATCAGAGTAGGGGTATTATTAGTGAGCACAAGCTCACAGACTTCTTGTTTCATACTCTTTGTTGAGGCATGCCATATGATGGAATTCATTTTTGTATGAATCTGATGTCAAGTTCCTGTTCATCCCTGTGTCTGTCCGTAACTGAACTTTTGTATATATTTACATCATAGTGTTTATTCACATCCGAGCGGGGGTATTACTAGTTAGCATTGGCTCACAGACTTCTTGTATATATAACAGAATGTTTGTAATAATTGTGTTAATTAGCTGTGCCAGTGCGATTTATATGAAACACTTCAAAAAAATTATAAATGACCATCACGTGATCAACAGAGTTATGTCATATCATAACAAGTATGTTAATATATAGCCAAGAAATCCCTCTATATAATTTGGCTGTACTTAAGTACATAACTTACAAATTAAAATCAAAACCAACCTCACAATGCAATATTATGTTTTGAATCCATTTTATAGCTTCGGGAAGCCTTGATTTAGCTGCATAATGTATAATATTAAGTTTTCTTATGTATTGTTTATCATATATCGAATAAGGATCATAGATGGTGTGCTATTCATTTTGAGTAAGTATGCTAATTTTTCTCTGATATAGATCACAAGAAAGAGATGTATCAAGAACTAGTAGTGACAACAGACAGACCAGAAATTCTTGAAGAAATCCGACAGGAGGTCCTTAATATGAAGAGCACTAAACTAGTAAGTACAAGTTATTCAGTATCAGAATTTGTAATGTTAGGGAATGATTCAAAACTTATATTTAACTGCATGGGCAAATGTTTTATTGCCAAAGGACATTTAAGTTGGGCAAAATCAGTGAACACTCTTATATCGAACATGCTTATCATGATGAATTGACGCTTACAGCAGAGTGATTTTCATTCCCCATGACTTTAAAATATATTGTAATCATAACAGACATAACAAATCACGCTTATAACGAAGCAAAATTGTCTGTCCCAGGCACTTCATTATAAGTGTTTTACTGTAAATCATTTTTTAAAAAGAGCATC